AATAGTAGTGCTCTGTAAATATTCTGCCTTTCACTCGCAAGAAACCCAGCATTTCAGACAGAAACGTCGAGTCCAGAGAAAGGTCCACGCGATTTTACAAGAAACGTCTTGTGTAGGTCACGTGTCTAGTCCTCGTACTTTAGGGCGTAATTCTGATATTGACGAAAGCAGAACAACGTGGAATTTGGGGGCCAACTCGGTATTTGCTGTAGAACCGAGGAAAACCACGGACAACAACGGAGATAGCCGGTCGTAGGACCTTTCGAATATAAACTGACCTTTAGCGAGCAGTCCGGAATTCAAACACGCGAACCCTAACGACAGACTCTACATCCTCCTGCTTTGTTCTCTGTTTAAGTGCGAGGGGACTTCGCGAAAAACGATATTGTCCTACATTTAAAATTAGACATCGTGGACAGGAAAATTCTGTTAACTGCAGTTTACACAAATTCTGAAACTTACTTTAAATCTGAAATTTATAAATTAGAGTCACATAAAATTTGTTTAGTACTCTACTTTACATAGACGCTCACACGTGACTAGAATCTTTGGCCTTGATTTCCCTGTACTGAAATAATGATGAGAATAAATTTATTAAATTGATTGTAATAATAGACCTAACTGCTTATGATTTATACTGAGAGAGTTTCTTCTTTTACTCGTTTTCTGAAACATTTTTTAAATCAACTGTTATTACTCTATCACTTCCTAACTACGTCGTACTACATTGTTAACATCAGCTACACTGCCATTAATGTTGATGTAGATTTTGATAACAGCTTTAAGTACTTAAATTAAAAACAAACTCATTTCAGAGGCTAACGTTACATTGTTGAATGCCTTACTATAAGGAACAATGAGACATCAAGATTCAAATGCTATTCGTTCCATTAGCCATCTCCCCCTCGCGTCCATAACAAACAACAACATGATAAATGCTAAAAGGGTCTATGGATACTTCACGATACGCCGTTTTCTTACGCATTTACACTTAAAATATTGAAACAGAACTCCATGAACCGTATTTCTTCCTTAGACGCTGGCAGTTCCTCTGCTAGTCAATAATTCTCCCTCCATTTATGGAACCAGAAAGTTCATCACCGTGTTCACAAGAACAGCGCACTTGAGATATCGGCTATAAATTTTAAAAAAAAACTAAAGACACTTTGTTTTTCGTTAAGCACAAAGAATGTTTTTTTTCTACCAGTCTAATAATTTCCTACAAACAAACGAACTTGTAACCTAGAGGTCCTGGAATGATGCATGATAAAAGATCTTTAAAATATAACAAACGTATTTCGAAGACAACGTGTTATCGGTAGTAAAACATGGCGACTTGGCGCAGATTTCATTCTGTTAATAAACCACTTGAGCTAAGATCGTTATATTTTGTGATCATTCATACAAATTATTGTTTGCAGATCAATAATTACAAACATGGTGTAGATACATGGTTTTAAAACACATTTATCCTATCGCAGACAATAATTAACACTAAAATGTTCGTAAGAACAAGAAACTACAGCCTTTAAAACACATTTATCTATCGCAGACAATAATTAACACTACAATGTTCGTAAGAACAAGAAACTACAGCTGGCTTACACACAACGATAATTAACTTTTCTAAATAAAACAATTTCATGGACAATTTGAGAGTTTCCATTTTGTAAAAAAAAAAGTATGGAAACATTTTGCCGAACGGTACAGATTGTAAAACAAAATTGCTATCTCTTCTCGCAATACTAATAAGTCACGATAGTACAGTGACTAAAGATGGCCAACAATCGCCTAAAACTATTAATGGTGATGAATGCCTGCATTTGACTTCGAACCCAGACACCTTTAAGCAGGAAATGACTTCCAACACAACCGAGCGAGAAATTTGTTTTTGTTGCAAATAATTACAGAAAATAAACTTCCACTTGAAATTCTACACTTGTATAAAAAAAATATATGGTAACTTTCTGTGTATGATCAGTACATACAGTTTCTGAAATCGTAAAGCATGCATAATTACAATTCAAACAACTGCAGTCGTAACACCATATGTCACTTTTGCTGTAAATCAAGCATATTCTATCCTTGTCGTGCATACATCTGCTCTCTCTTTTGCACATTATAAATAAAATATAATCCGCGAGAGAATCACTTTGTTCGTGTGTGATTGAAAAACACATTCATTCTCGAATAGAATGAAAAAGTGCAAAAGTAATACTCACATACGAACACAAAACGAAAACGCTGGCATTTTCGACGACACATTGGCATCACATAACAATAATGTCACGTGTTCACATTAAACAATTAGACATTTATTCATAGCATTCGTTAAACAAATAACAATGGATCTTCGATGCTGAGTCCGAGATATGTGAATGCACAGCACTGCGAAATCGCGGATAATTAATACACGAAACTGAAATTTAATAAGATGCATGTATATCTCTCAACAAGGAATAAATAACTACCATCTAAAACACAATGTGTACGCATTTACTACGAAGAACAAAGAGGTATATTGCTCATCTAGTTGAGGAAAAAACCGTAGCAGAGCGGAACAACAGCGCCAAATCAACGAACAAGCAGGGAACGAAATTTAGGTACGTAACACAATAGTACAGCCGACAATTAAAGCAAGAACGGAACATATCAATTCAATGGTCACGACACTGAATGAAATACATACCATAGAAACGATAATATTAGAAATCAGTGGTAGTAAAACACTGCATGAGAATAAACGTTCGTCTCTTGTACTTAAAGAAGCCATTAATATCATGGAAACTGCTTTACGGATGTTTGAAATCACTTACCATTCACAAATCCTTTGCAAAAGTACTTCCTCAGACGATTGAACACGTTTTCTTGAAGATATAAGCTCACGCTAACATCACCACTATCACATATCACAAATTTTCAAATGGATGAACTCGATTATATATTATTTTCTCTCCAACGCTTGGCACAAATGGCTTCACACGTCCAAAGCAAAACCTAGCGGACGCCAAGCTTACACTCCCATCTCAATACCAACTAGAAACCCAGCACAGCCCGGTTTGAGTTTGCCGGCTAAAGGGGCAGGGGGGAAAGGAGATGCAGGAGCGTCAGAGGGCAAGGAGTGTGGAGGGGAGACTGAAGGGGAAATGATCACCTGCTGTCTGTGTATGTGTCCTATTCCAGTGCTGTTTTTAGGGGCCGCGGGGATACGAGGGGGAATAGATGTAGCAGGCCAGATGGAAAGGGGGACGGGAGGGGATACAAAAAATTGTGAGGCATACGCCATGGGGAATGAGTGAAGCATACAGCACTGGCATATAGACTACTGGCAGCCTCGCACGCACGGAGGCAGACTGGTAGAACAAAAGCACCGATCATCAGCGGAGGAGGAGAAGATGTTATTAAGAAACGTGGAATATTTTTCGCATCGCACGGTGACACACAAAACTGTTTCAAATAAATGCAGCATATTTCTGTGGTCAGTGAATGGTGTTTCTAACCAGCCTTAATGACGGTGAAATATGTGTGCAGACGTAATTTATTTACTGTGTTGTTAAAAATATCTTATAATTGTTTTCGAATCATTACAGACGCCGAAAACGTTTTAAAAAAATTTGATTTGGATTAATAAGTTCGCATCCATTGAATGCAGTGTTACTTTTGAACGTAAAGTGTGCCAGTGATATTGTTGTGATTTTTAGTGATTTTACTTTTCCATAAGCATTGTTATTTTTTTTAAACACATTTGTTCCCTAATCGCGTCTAAAATTTGTGGCAATGGATGGCTGAGTCGGTAATTCAGATATCTGTTAACACACTCTTAATTCATATACTTCATTTATAAATTGACAATGAGTACGTACACATCTTCCAGGAAGGGCGTGTTTGTCTGTCTGTATGTCCGTCCACGATGAAATTCCATGTAGAGAAATTATTTTAAATTTCTTAGATGAATATGGGCAACAGACATTGTTGTGAATACGTTAATAAGCCGCCAGCTTCTATTAAGCATGAAATTTTTTAACCCAGCAAAGTGACGTGACAGTATTTTAAGGTTATGTTTACCACAATTTTGTGTGCGTTATATATGAAATAATCCCAACAATGAAGCTTTTTCTCCGGAAAAATTCCCCAATTCGAGTGTCATTCTGTTATCACTGACGAAAAATTATTTGTGCCCTTGTGACTTTCTGTCTACAGAGAGATTATAAATTTTAAATTCGGGACGTACATTTCTTCATATGCTTAATCAAACACCTCGTCACTACCGGGAATCGAACCCAGGTTTACTGTAGCCTCGGTATTCATTTGTATATTGGTCACAGTATATTTTATTTTATTAAGAACACCATGGAAAGGTAACTGATAGTCGTTCAGGCAGGCAAAAATTCCTTGCCTTTTATGAAGCTCCTCATTAAGATATTTGTTTCGACCGAAGTGTCCAGGTGTTCTCCCGAACACCTTTTCACAAACATTCTTATTTTGTATTCCTTCCATTTATTTTCTCACGATTTTCGAGTTTTTCATAGCAGGCGAACGTCTGACAAGTATCAAGTATGTACTACTGCCACTTTTGCATCTACATAGGCTACTAACCAGTTAATACGACGCCATGTAACCAAAACAATTGTAACAGTGTCGTCAAATATCGAAAGAATCAATACATCTTACAGTATTACAAAAAATATTTGTCAGCGCTATCTTTTGGGAGTGGAGCGAATTATTTGGTTTCCAACGTCAGTCGCGTTAAGAAACTAAAAGAGTTACTGTAACGCTACCTTTTGAGCACCATTGTAACTAATCGTACGCCATGCCGTTTCTTCCTAGATGGCAGCATAAACTGGATTTTTAGATATACGAAAATTGTATGTGGACGGGAAGTTAGAAGGTTATATCAAAATAGGACGACGTTGGAATACAGGTTTCAAGTATTCATATTTTGTCCACATTTTTAACTTTTCACACTAATGCAAGCAGAGACAATGTTCCAGTCTGTTATGACTAAAAATGAGATACATTTTATGAGGCTTATTTCACAGCACATCTGTCGTTACCATGGTGACGTTAGAGGTGGTGATACTCAACAGACCGAGTCGAAATTGTAGCAACACGACAAGGTACGTCACCATTGTACATATAAACTGAGGGAAATAAAAGACATTTGTTACTTCAAACACAACAGAACGGACCTCAGAGCCAGCCTGGACGCAGAGTCCAGAGGAAAAATCCTCTGCCCCCATCGGGGATCGAACCCCAGTTTAAATGTACAGACAGTCGTAATTTATTTAGTCATTAAGCATTTGGTAGATTTGTTTGAATCCGTTCCTTATGGCATAAATTATGCAACGTGCATTACAGGATTACTATCCCAACATCTTCCTGAAGAGACTGTGGGAAAACTACAAAACCCCACAGATAGAGTGGATTTAAACTCCTGAACTAAAGGTTTGCCACCCTGGACTTTAAGTACAGGAATTAATCATTTAAGGGCATTCTACAGCAACACGCAACCGGCTGGATTGCACGTAAGCAGCGATGAAAGTCAATAATTATTATAAAGTTTTTATGGTACTCACCCTCAACAGGAAACCCCTGTCAATTCTGACATAACCTCCAAGATTTATTTCTGAAGAATTTAATGTCATAACTCGGGTAAATATCTTGAGCTGAAAATAAGTTGTGTTTAAATTTGTATCGTCACACGTCTTGAAATTTGTCTCGTTCAGAAAAATTCAGGGGTCACGTACCTCACGCCTCATTTGTTTGTCGTCCGAATTGACATGTGACAATTTCTCACAGAACTCTGGTCCCACCTGCAAGGTACAAATTTCAGTTTTAAGCTCTTCGGCGCTTATAATTGGAAACCGTAACTGAGTACAAAGAATTATCTAATAATTTATTTGCGTCTATCACATTAGAGATTAAAATTAAACGTGTCGCCAACACAGCTACACAACTTTATAAATAAAACGGAATAAGGCCATCTTAGAAACGCGAGTAGAAATATTGCACAACATTTTTCTTTTTTTAGTGTTCTGTCTGACGACAGGTCCATATGAACAGGATCCTTCCATCCTTTTCTCGGACTGGGACCTGTTCATATACGTTCTTGGCAGATGATCCAGAAGTGGTTTGCCATTGCCTTCTTCTGTGTGTGAATGGAGTAATTGTTGGGATGCCACGGAGGAAAACTCCGTGTTGCCTAGACCACGGCCTTGCCCAACACAAGTTATAAATTCGGGCACCGCCGGGAATCGAACCCGAGACCCCAGGATTACAAGGCCAGCGTTCTAACCGCTAGACATAAAGACATAAATTATTTTGTTTCCTTTTCCCTTATTAAAATCACTCCCTATCGAAATTTTTTTTTAAATAACATATAATAATATGTCATCATGCCCATTTCTTGTCCACAACTAATTTCTATTTACTAAATCAGTACAGATTTGGAGTTACTGTTGGCCGCTTGGCCAAAATCGAGTACCACGTAATTCTGTAGTGAAAACAGCATTGTCAAATAACCACAGTTGACCTATCTGTGACTCGCCTCTCTTGCGGCATGGTGAGCTCCGTTAGCCATTACGTAAGTTACACCTCCAATGACGCACACGGCCAAGGCGAGACCGAGGTGCCTCAGGTACAACCCGTCATGGAGGTTGGACAGACTTCCGTACAGACTCAGCGTCATGACAGAGAATGAGAGCACACACAGGTGTCCATATGTGTAGCACATGAACAAACCAGTCTCACAGGACAGTCTGCTGAGACTGATCCACAAGGCTCTGTACTGGGCCACAAGTGTTGCAGATCCCTCGTCTGCAAATATGGTAGGATCCTGCGTAAAAATAAAATTATACAACTCTTCTGACACAACATACAATGGTAACAGAATCCAAAGTTTCAACGCCAGGCATTGTGCGTCATCCTGGACCAGTCTCCTCCACCTTTCATCCTTTCAATCGCTCTGTCTAAAATATGACTTCGTGATCCTCAAATCTCAGGCTTCCAAGTGGGAATTTTTTTAAAAAAATTTCTCACCAGACTTACGTATTCATTCCTCGATCCTTGTATGAGGTAAGGGTTGAATTTCAAACCCTGTTCCTCACTTCAAAGTGTTAAGCTGTATGCGTACCTTGAACAAGTTTTCTGAAATGTCATATATGCCACTGCGTAGCGATGAACAGGTGAACCACCACCAGACGATGTGAAGTAAAATGACAGTGAAGATGTACCAATAAAATCCGAGCTCCCAGTATTTCTCTTCGGCAGATGACATATAATATTCAGTTGCAACGAAACATAGTGCCACTACCGGAGTTAGGACCACAGACCACATGACGTGGCGGTTCTGTCCCAGATAGAGCTGTTTCCCAGTGACTCTGACGTACTGTTTCTGTAGACAGAGACGGTAGACAAGGTTACAGGCCTTTAGCTAACTCACTCCATGAACCAGAGACCTTAACTCACATAACAAAGAAATAAACTACCTTATATGAATTTTAAAGACTCGTCACCACGTTCATATATCGATCATTTATCTGCGAAACTGTTTCTGTCTCACCTGAAAGTCAGACCAGTGTACGAAATATCTCCCCACTTTGGAAACTTCCTTCCAGTGGCAAGGTATGAGGTAGAAATGAGGAATTACATACATAAAATGTATCACCGAGTACATGAGGTCATCAAAACTCGCTTCAGAATATCTGATGAATTGTATTCTCTCTCTAGAAACGTAGTATGCGTATATGTTCATGGCCAGGTAGAACACGGCTGAGTACATAAGAGAGAACTTGCATCTCCTGAAAGTGGGTTCACCTGAAACAGAGATAGACGCGGGTCGGATACAGGTCTTTGTGGCGTATGTGAGGGTTCCACGTGTCTCAAAATCGTTTTACTGAATCCTAAAATATTTGGACACAATGAGGATGAAATGAGCAACCTTTGAGGTACTGACTGATAGTTTAAATATTAACTTCATCCAATTCTGATCGACCTATCTTCTTGACTTCCAAAAGTCTTATCGTCTATAAAATTTACTTTTAAGAGAAGGACGAGTGGGCACTGCCTGGGAACCTTCATGGTCCAAATGCATCTGTTTCGCCTGTTAAATATATTGAATTTTATTAAAATGTAATTTTGTAACCAATCTGTTCAGCAATTAACTGACGAATCTTTTGAACCCACTACTTTAAATACTGTAATTTTTTTAAAATGGGAACAAATCTTCAGAAGCTAGTCTAATTGTGCCCGGCCCCAGTTACGACGAACCTGGAATTCGTTTTTGAAGCGGGAACAATCCGAAGATCTTCATGGTATAAATGATCGGCTTCAACTCTTCAAAAAACTCGGAGGAAGGCCCCTCTGCTTCAGAAATCACTATGACCACTTCGTCTTTGCGTATCGACGCTTCATCAACTTGGCGCCATTTGATAGGTACAGGGTGGTCGTATTTTAGATCAAACGAAATTTGCGGTCCAGTTCGTTTGAGATGCATCGCTTCCAGAACACTGAACAGCAAAACATATTCTACTAATAATTAAAGGTTATGTGACATTGTTTCTGTCCTTGAATCACGTGTTATTAAGATGTATGGGGGATCCGGTGTAAAACTCCACGCATTCTCAACCTTTGCACTAAATAAAGTACCTAAATGAGGGAATATTTTCTTACCATACAACCAAGGTCCTACACGTAAGTCGAACAATAATAATAATAATAATAATAATAATAATATGAATTGGCAAAAAGTAGGAGGAAAATGAATCCCACTTTTCCTGTAATGACAGTGACTGATTCCATATTAGCTGTGTTAAATTAAATTCAACGCCACTAGATTACTCTCTGAAGGATTGAAATGTTTCAGAGTAAAGTTACAATAAAATTTAATAACTTCGCTTATATTAAGAAATTGTGCGTTATGGTTTTCATATTTCCACATAAATTAACTTGTCAGTCTCAGCGCTTGACTGGACGTCTAATGTCAGGTTCGCCTACGTCCCGCCAAAGGCCGATTGCAACTCAGCTTGTGAGGGCGCTGTAGTCTCCGGCTAGTAATTACAATGGCAACGAGAAGTTCCGACTTTCGCCACGAAACCACTCGCCTTGGTCGGGATATATCTATATCTCGTTTTATTTCTATTTTTAAACACAGCAACTCATTACATTCTTCAGTGACGTAATGCTTTGCTATACAAGGGTCGTTTGAACTAATCTATTGGGAGATAATTACTATCTTGTTGTACATTTACTGACATAACAACGCGAAAAATAAGTATGTAAGAGCGCTTATTATAAATTCATGTTTGACCCACATTCTCTCACAACTCATCTATTATTGCTTAAAGTTGTTTGTGAATTGATTAACGCCCACAAACAAAAAGCTATGAACTCTTCAGAATGTTTCGTTTTTAATCCAGTGTTACTTTACGTAAAGGATACTTGCAAGTAATGAAGACGTACATGAAAATTAGTTTCACGAATTGAGGTGTAAAGCGTTCACATACAATCCTGCTGATACAACATACAGTGAATTTATCATCTACATCCCTCAGCTACAAAGAAGGCAATAACATAAATACATTTAAAGTAAACTGCACAGATAATACACCTTTCCAAAACAAGAGTGAAGGTAGTGAATGCAAATTTGCGCATGAATATACAGAATTTTACAAATAAAGATGGCTGTCTTCCGGGATTTTGCACCGTGTAATCTGGTAGAAACTGATCGACGTTTCAGATCTGCTTATCGCCCTGATGATGGAGGTAGTGAGTACCTCTGAAACATCCCTCAGATGGCAGAGAGCAACACCATCTTCACTTTGTTTAACGACGCTGTCAGTAGCTCAGATTACACGGCATTGAATGAGACGATGATTAGTGAGTAATGAATTGGAAAGTATCTGGAAGGAATAGGTCGTGGTTTCATTTAAGATAATTTAAATGTGTCTGTCTACATGGTAGGGGGAAAGCTGTTGAAATCGTCATCCGAAGTAATTTTATATCGTTCGTAGCAGAGATAATAAACTACACACATCGAAAAAAATTTCAAGTAGAATCTTATTATCTACGTGACTTTTATCCCTCGTGTTACCTGCAATATCTGCAGCTAAGATCAGGCACTTTTAAGTCTGATCTTAGCTCCGTGTATTATATGTTTACAGCAGAATTATACATAGCAAAATGACGCAAATTTCAGAGATAAATCACGCAGTCAGATATTAATTTCCGTTTATTTATGCGTGCTTTATTTGCGATAATAATTTTATAACTTTGTTTCGACACTTAGGAACACAACCGACTGTAATCCATATTTTACAAAAAACACGATACTTTAATGACAATAACAAATCGCATGTCAGTACCGTTCATGTGTCTGAGCTGCTGAGAGCCATGAACGTATGATACCATGAAGATACGAAAGTGTGGAGAAAACTCACAAAATTTATATCAGCTGTAATAAACTTATTTCACAGGACACAGAAGGAGCTGTTTCACAGACATGTTTAACGTATCAGCACAGATCTCGCAATTGCCCGATGAAAAGCGACAGGTATTTTGGAAAGTGAAGACTTTGGGGAGGCTGAACCAAATCACGGAAAACGACCGCATCCATAAGGAAGTCAGATTTCCAATAATTATGCTCCGGTTATTGGGAGTGCTGCCAATTCAGACTTCATCCATCACAGGTAAAACTCCTCTGTGATCCTGACGTGCATTTGTTTCAAACGCAACAAATCTCAATATGAGAATTGAGGTCCTTATGGCAGTGATATTGTTCTTCCGAGTTGTGACACCGCGTGGATTTATAGGTAGACACCACGGTTTCGGAAGTACATATCGCCTCCATCTTCATGGAGGTAGTATTTTTCTTCAAAAACTCTGATATAAATTCCTACAAAGGCATCGGCGTTATAATCCAGAAATCGACATCGACATCGACATCGACATATTTCACCGCCGTGAAAATCTCAAATCCGAAATGACTGACATTTCTTCGTTCTTCAGGTGAGAGTGAGGTGAAGGTGCGGTCCCCGATAATGCTGTACTCCGCTGCGGTGGTTGGTCTTGTGACCGCGGGCACACTCTTCATGGTGAACGACAGATTCTGGCGCGTAGTGGACCAGAACAGCTCCTTCGGAGACAAAGTGCTGGAGACAGCGAACATCATTTTCTTCCTACCCGTCATTCTAGTTCCATTCACTCACTGGTTCGAGTGTGGGAAAAAGGCGAGATTCGTGAACAGCTGGCGCAGAATGCAGGTAAGACCTCGGGACTCAGACAACGTAAATGTAATTAACACGCGGAAACAGAAGATGGAGTAGGAATAGGAGTCGCTACCAGGTTAGGTTAGGTTAGGTTAGGTTAGGTTAGGTT